GGAAAATGGCGGGCAGGGCGGGGGAGGCGCGGGCCTGGCCCGGCCGCCCGGGCTGCGCTGCAGCTGCCCCGGGCTTCCTGCGCTTTTGGACGGCCCTGGGCTGCAGCCTTCGCGGCGTTCCCCAGGAGAAATGTCAGCAATTCTCACCTCGGAACCCCCCCAGTGGTGCTCTGACCACGCCATATCCAGCTCGTGCTCTGGATGATCGGACTCCAGTCACGCTGTGGGAATCTTTAACCCTCTTTCCTTTTCTGCAGTGACGTGATCCTGCTCCTCAGTTCCCTTAGTCAAAACCAGCCGGTACCTTGGGGCTAAGCCGGATTCCTTTGATGGGGGGAAAAAAGGACCCTGTATTTCCAGAATCCGGCTTCCAGGCAGGATGAACCCTTCCCACTCAGATTTACAGGTGTGCAATGATAATTACATGGACCTAGTGAACTTAATGGACAATTTAGAGCTTAATTATCCTTATCATTAGAGAGCTGTTATAAAGGCTGTTTCTGCAACTTACAGGTCTTTGTTCTATCTCCAGCAGACAAGGGTAATTTGTTTCCTTTACTGAACAGCCTCCTACAGTTTTAAAGATATCACATCTCTGCTCAGTCTCCTCTGAATATCAGTTGGTATGATTTAGAAGTTCACAGTATTCCAGGACACAAAGCATCATATTTGGGCCAGGGGACCAGGCTACATCCCTGCTCCAGGAAGAGGTTGCAACAACTAACACAACACGGCCAGCAGCCACACACACCACTCTATGGACTGACACCACCCTGAGCCATTGCATTTCTGCTCCAATGGACTGTCTCTAATTAAACAGCATTTTTAAGTCTGATGTCTAGAACAGGGCAAGCTCACAACTGCAGCTCCAACTTAATAGAAGAATCAAAGCATTACTCACACCTCAAAAGCTGCATGAGGCCTGGGTGTCAACATGGCACGAAGTTTTTGCAGCCAACATCTCCTGCACTGCTGATTATTTCCACTTACTAAAAGGGGGAATTTTAACTCCCAAGTATTCCCACTGCAAGAGTAACATGCTAGGACTAACATAGTTGAGTTTTAGTGCTTCCATTTTGCTCCCAGCAAGTTAATGCAAACAATGTAATATGTAAATATTACATTAAATGTAAATAACACATATATAAGAATGTGTTAAAAATACACATTATAACTAGTAAAGTGAATAAAATATTAAATGCATACTGAAACACAGAACTTTATTTCCAATCCCACAAACCAGGCTCACAGACCCATCACTGAAAGGAAGAGACTCACACTCAAATATATGCTTAGTTTTATTTATAACATTTAAGAAATATTAACATCTCAGGATATCTGGTTTACCATCTAAGTCCAGTCATAAGCAACAAAAAAAAGAAAATGTTAACCATGTTTCAAATGAACATTCTTACATTCATTCCCCCCTGTAAAGAAACTTCAGCTTTATTAAATGTGTTTGACTAATGTAAAAAAAAAAAAAAAAAAACATTAAAAATGCCTGAAATACCAGGCATCCTGGTTTGTTAACTTTTGTTGGCACTTGTGTTCACCACAATCAAGCACTCCAGTTGGTTTCTTAAATTTTCCCCTTCTACCCAGAACTGATTTTTTGTGAGTTTTTCTGTGGATTTTTTTATTATTTTGTTGTTGTAATTGTTTTTTTAAACATTTGGATATGTAAGTTTGTTCAAATAACTTTAAAAAGACAAGGAATCTAGGCCTGTCCGAGAAGCTCCTTCCCTTGAAAACCCACCTATGGGATAACTGAAGGAAGAGACTTGCTTTCACTTTTCTGAATCTTATTAAGCAAAAATTCATTTTAATTAAACTGAAAAAAGTACATAAACACTGTCTTTATTTGATGGTGTGCATAAACATTACACTCCATATATAGCAAAAATATCTTTTATTTATAATTTACATTTCAACAAGTGAAAATTTTACATTTTTACATATACCATTAAATTTTCACGCATCTACAGAACTTTCACACAATGACACCTGAAACTGTGCAGGCAATAAGAAATTTCAAATACAAAAATGTATTTATTAACCAAACAGTAGTTGAGGCCCTGCCTCAGTTGGACATTTTTATTCATATAAAAAGTATTTGCCTTCCAGAATTAACACAGCAGCTCTTCTGTAAAAAAAAAAAAAAAAAAAATCATACCGCAGTTTATTTAAACAGACTCCTCAGGTTCTGTTTTGATTTCTGTAGATGCAGGTGTGCTCTCTTCTGCACAGGCAGGAGGGGTGTCATCAGGTTCTTCTTTGATTTTAGGTGAGTCACAGGACTCTTCTGTTTCTTGTTTAACAATGTCCAACATTATATTTAGTGGATTTTCTGAAGGAGTCTTGCTGGGAGATGGTGTGCAATCAAATGATGATGTCTGCAAAGTCGAAGTCACGTAGCATTACCACACTAAAATAACCATTTTTAGCCTCTTTTTCTTTTTGCGTTTTTTCAAAATGCAAATATGTTGATGGTGAGGCACTCAAAATCCAAACTTCTACTTTGTCAAACTTTTAAGGAAACAAATTCCTTTTTTTAATAGCATTACTTTTTTCCCCAATTCCTTTGAGAAGTACCACCAAGCAGTGATGAAATGCTTAACACTTTACCATGAACTGATCCCTGCTATCTGCCCTCTGGACAACTGTAGCTCCCAAAACATTAAAAATATCACACACACCGATACCGATCTACTCCATTGTTACAAATTACTACATGTTACTCCACAAGAAATCCATCAAACCATGGCTTTGCTTTATAGCACACAAGCTGTCATGGTACATCACAACCAGAAATGCATCTCAGCTAATTCTGTATTATAAACTTGCCATGCCCAAAGCCTCCAAATGTTAGGCAAATGGGCAGCACATTCTGAACACATCTGCTCCCTGCAAAGTCAAGATCAAGCAAACAAACTGAAAGCAAAATGCTTCCAAAAATATCAACAATCTACTTACATTCTGGTAATCTTCATAACAAGATGGATGGTAAATCTAAAAAAAAAAAATCGTTATACATTTAGATATGTAAAAATAAATTATAGCAGGATCACGAACTAAACAGTGTCTATTACACATTATCACAAAATTAATCTAGAGAAACTATGGTCTGAGCAGGCTAAGTATGGTGTCAATTATACCTGAGACAAGATTTTGTGATGTTTATTTAGGAAACATTATCATACAGAAGGCTGATAGTGCTGGGAATTACAGAAGCCTTGTGAGTGCTGGGAATTATCTGTGCACAGCTGCATCCAGAATCAATTGAATCCATACCTACACCCATACACAGACATGCATTTTTCTTTAAGCACTGCAGTGTAAGGGAGGGCTATGGAGCCCACAGCAATTACACCAGGATTTCAGGCACTTCTGAAGGCAGAGATATTTATGTATTTGGAAGCCAGGAAAACTACAACAAGAATTCTTCAAGAGGAAAGGAGCACTTGCCACCTCCTCCTGGGTATTTTTTTCTGCAATTCTTCAGGTGTTAATTAATTAACATGTAAATAAAATCAATTACCTTTTCATCTACCCTGATGGCATTCTTCAGGTGCCACTCTTCCTCTTCCTCATCCCAATACTGTTCAAATTGTTCTTGGCAAATTTCACAGCTCTGAAGTTATTGGAATAAGAGAGATAAATGTTGTTATTGCAATTTGCTGAACACATGAAATTAAAGAACCCAGGAGTCAAATAAGGTTCTTTTAAATTAAGTATATTAAGCCTAGAACGTGATCTTTTTTCCACGCTTTAAAAATCACTTTAATAATTAGTAAACCTTAATTAAAAATTGAGTATGGCTTGCAGCCAGAGAAAGGATCACCCTCTGGGCCCTGAATACTCTTTGTCACTTGAGAAAGGAAAGCTTTGGCCCCCTTTAGCTAGTAAATCTGCAAAGCATTTTGTAACAGTGTGATGCTGTCTTATTGCCATGTAAGACAATCCATTACAGTGATTTAGCTAGTTTTATTTATGGCATTATCTTAATTCTTCCCCTTTAGCCTGCAATTTCAAGTCAAGGCAGAACTTTTAGAAGTACTAATGTTTCTAGTACTTTTGTGAAAAAATATCAACACAGAGAACAAAGCACAAAAGGTGCTTTTTAAAATTAAAAAAAAAAGGCCTTTCTGGTTTCATAGCTCGTTTCTTAGAGACTTAGCACATAAAACTAAACTGTAATTCTAACAACTTTTGTATTTGATTATTACACCAGTTCATCAACCAAAACACAGCTCTACTGGTTACTTTTGGTATTTCTAACGCCTATCTGCTACCAAAAAAGAAAATTTTGTTTGGAAGCACCAAAACTCAGTATGCCCTGTAGCTACCTGGATGGCAAATATCCATTCAAAGGACAAATTGCTTACTCTATTTTCTCTGCTTAAATATTCAGCAAATTAACACTTTGCCCATTTAAATTTTGCTAAAACCACAGAATGCCAATGGGTGTAATTTTTTTTTAACTACAGATGGTTTCTACTACTCCTGCCCCTGGGAAGCAACCATTACACACACAAATACACGACCTACGGAGGGGCTGCACAAAGGCCCAAGCACAATATTCCAGTCTACATTTAGTAACAAGAATACAGTACAAGCCCTTGAAAAACCAGATTCTTGCTATCTGTGCTGATAACTAGATTCTTGTTATCTGGCAAGCTGAAACTTACCTCGACCGCACCAGCTGGCCCAGCTGGGACACTCTGAAACTCCTTCTCTTTCGCAGCTTCCTGCGTCTTCAACACAACCTCTTCATGAGCTTTTTCAAAGAACTGGCTTTTAGCACGCTCCTCTAGATCTGCTATTTCTTCAAATTCAATCCAGTCCTAAGGAAAGTTTTCATTCTTACTCACACATTCCAAAGCATTGCATTTAATAGATCTTTGTTAAAACTGAAATATTTCCCACATGCTGCATTAACACAGTGTTCCCTTTCTCACAAAAAATTTTTCCAAAAAAATCACTGTCCTTCAAATTCCATTCTCAGTGGAACGAAAACAGTGCAATAAGCAGCTTTGAACTGTTTATTGTTCATCACACAATTGCCCTTTGTATTCTGAGAGGCATTAGCGGACTACTTGAAGTATCCAATATATCACTGTTTATCACAGCCAGCTCCTGTGATGATGCAGATTTCAGCCACAAACATACAGCACATGCAGGAGTAAAACACAGAATCCAGCCTGTAATTTATCCACACAAATACTGCATTACTTACTGTTAAACTGTAGTACCATCTCCTGTGTGTAATTTTTCTGCTAACATCTTTTTCTGTCCGGTTCTGGCGATAATGCCAATCTAAATGATCTGCATAAACATCTGTCTGTGAAGTAGTGAATCTCATTCCACAGGAGTAACACTGAATTCCAGTGTACAGCCGATTTATAACACTATCGTAACGCCTACAAAAAAAGAGATTAAAAAAAAAAAAATCTTAACACTTCTTTAAAAAGACAGTAAAAAGTTTCTCAGTAAATTGCTTCATTTGCTTACAATAGTAGGGGAAAAGCATGACTCTGCTCCAAGTTGAAAGTACACAATATGACTACATTTCATCCTGATTTTCACAGCACAATCAACTTAAACTTTCAAAAAAAAATGGACTCTTATTAACAATTCATGGGAAACATTTTAGTGTTGTGTCTCATTCCTATTAGCTTTTCTCACCTAATAATGCACAAACAGCAATGCCTTCATTTAGTCCATCTTTACAAAGTACTACCAAAGTGGTAAAATTAAAATCATAGAATGATTTGGATTGGAATGGATTTTAAAAGACCATCTAGCTCCAACCCCCCCCGCCATGGGTAGAGACACCTTCCACCACGTTGCTCAGGGCCCCATCCAATCTGACCATGAACACTTCCAGGGGTGGGACATCCACAGCTTCTCCAGGCAACCTGTATCAGTGCCTCATCACCCTCTCAGCAAACTATTTCTTCCTACTATCTACAGTACATCTGTTCTTCAGCATAAGGCAATTTGCCCTTGTCCTATCACGGCCTTGTGAAAAGCTCCTCTCCAGCTTTTCTTTTTGTCCCCTTTAGGTACTGGAAGACTACAATAAGGATTCCCTGAACCCCTCTCCAGACTGAACCAGCCAAACTCTCAGCCTGTCTCCACAGCAGAGGTGCTCCAGCTTTCTTCTCATCTTTATGGCCTCCTCTAAATCACTGCCAACCAAGGAGGACCATGTCCTCCTTGTGTTGGGGCCCCAGAGCAGCACTGCAGGTGGGGCATCACCAGAGCAGAGGGGGAGAATCACCTCCCTTGACCTCCTTGTCACAGAGCTTTTGATGCACCCCAGGTCTGGGCTTCACTGCCTATCACAACCTTAGTGCTTAAGTAACAACACACATCTGTGTATAAAGCAAAGTTTTCCCATGTTCATTTTCCATCTTTTTCCTTTCTCAACTTAAAAAAAGCTGACATCAAACAATGCAGGTTTAATCTCCTCTGAAGCAAAAAGTGACAGATAATATTTTAAAAGCTTTTAACTGACTTGGACGAATTATCTAGCTACTGACACATTGTTATTCCTACTGTAAGCCCATTCTAATATACGCACTGTCTAAGTTCTTCAACTATGAAGTTAGTGAGGTCTGGAACATTTTGATCTTCATTCTGATCATCATCTTCTTCTTCAGCAGTTGGCTGGGCCGATGCTTCGTTTGCTTCTAGAAACCATGAAGATATTATTTTATCATAAATTCATCATCAGAAAGGAACTACATGCTCCTAAAAGTTTGGTTTTTTCAAACATTATTAAGACAATCTGACTATGGTCAAACACAAGTGTGTAACAGCTAAATCAGTCATCTTGTGACACCATTAAATAAAAATAAAAGAAAATAAGCCATCATTTCAATTAAGGAAAACAGTATTTCACCTCAGTGTTTGGCATTAAAATTCAGTCTTCATAGATACAGAAATATTTCAGAAGATGAGAAGACCCTGATTATAATCAAGAACAAGTTATGAAAGCACAGCAACAAAGACAAAACTTACTACTCTGGACAGCTAGTGTAAATTAAACAAGATACTAAGAATTTACACACACATGTAATAAATTCCTTTCCAAAAATAGTTCTGTTTAAAGAAACCATACTGGAGTTTACAAAGGTTTCTATACTCAGATTTACACTTGAGATGAGGATAAACTAGATAGTTAGAATATAATAAATCTACATACGTGCTGAAGCGGAATCAGTTTTAGACAATTTGAGTATCCCTGTTTTCAGCAGTTTAGCAAACAATTCATTCACATCAACCTGTCCAAGGTGGTTATCGGGATATGAATGGGAAAGGGCTCCTTGGGAAGAACACAAACATTCAAAAGTTACCATCAGAAATCAACTTCACTTTAATCTATGTAACATCACAATTTTCCTGTTGCCTCCTCCCATTTCTTTCATTTTTTGTTAGACATTATTTACCAACTCTCTGCTTTATCTAGTATTTGGCTATTTTTTTCCCTTGCAACAGGAAATCTTTGTAGCAAGATTTTCCCTTCCTTCATTAAGTACTCTGAAGTGCTACCTAAGCTGGTTGCCCATACACAGATCTCCAGTGGATAGTGGATCTTGAAATGCAGTCCTAGATTGTCCTAGATTCATCCATAGATATTTTACCACACTCCATCTACTTCATCATCTAGTTTAACCTTTTATGATGTCTTTGAAGTGTTTCACTACTAAGCACTCATACACTGGAAAAGTCAGCACACCCCAGCACAGCATACTAGACCTACAGACTGATGCCTTCCAGAAAAACATATCAAAACTACTTTTTTTTTTCAGCACAACATTATACCCAAACCGAATGATTAATGGAAACTAACAAAAGCCTCCAGTGTTTGAGAAAAGCTCCTTAAGAGATAAAGGTGCTACAGACACATCTACAGCCACCTCACTGAGGAGGCTTCCCTTAATCCACACAGACCCAGGACATTAGAAAAAACTTAATTTTTGTGGCCACCACCAAACGAACAATCTGAAAGAAATAAAAGGAATTCTACTGTTACACACCTGCAGGGTTCTGGACAAAATTTCCAGGATTTGGCAAATACTGCTGACCTTGACCATAAGGTCCTGGTTGAGCGGACATGAGAGAAACCTGTGAAAGTAAACATTTAAGTATTCTTTGTATAATAATGTGATTATAAACTCACTTTTCATGTTTTATTATTAACTTGTAGATCGTTCTCAATAATTTCACATACACTGAACTCCTTCCAGGAATGAACCATGTTAGTTTGGTATTGTAAAGGACCACAAATAACTATATGATCTTTCCCTCATTTTTATTTTCCACTAGGAAAATTCAGAACACATCCTCGTTTTCCCTAATATTAAAAAACAAACAAAACCCCACCACACCTTGAACACTTTTCCTTCTACTTAACAATCACATTTTCCAAACACAGTACTTCCTTTTAAATTGCTCATGTTCACCAAAACAGAGCTCCTCAAGAAATTAAATGAATCCGTAAATCTCTATTAATAAATGTCACAATTAATTCCTATCAAGAACTGAACCAGCATTCACTACAGCCCCACATCTTGAAAGCAAGACTTTTCAGCACGTTAGCTACAGTAAGCCATAGGTAGAAAAACAGTCCTTATAACACACTTGTAATAAAAATGTGTGGTTTTCTTCCCTAACTGGCTGATTTCTGGGTTTACAAACTGTTTAGGATTTTATCCCACTAGAGGTCTGCAGGACATATTACCTGCTTTTGTACAAGCAGTTAACTTTTCACATTCTCTTTTTATCCCCCAAAATGAAAAATGCTTTTAAAAACAATTTTTTTAAAAAAAGCAAGTAATTAAATCAGTTTCACAACTGTAAACTATCATTCCCTCCTTTTGAAGAGAGCATTTCCAAGAGGCAACAGCATAGACAACTGAAGTGACAAAGCAAGATGGTGCCAAAAGAATTTTAAGAGACAACAATACAGTTGAGGAAGAAAGTTCAACTGTGTCCCTATCTTCCTAAACTCCCCCAAGCTATCGGTATCTCTTTACGGGTTTGTAACCAGTACTAACAGCTGCAAGAAGGCAACTATTATTTTGGTCCAGTCTAATTTCACACCTCTTAGGAAAATTAATCATGTATCTTTCACTTTCATTATCTTCCATGGTTAATACAAAATTCACTTCTGAAATTTAATGAAAGTACCAAAGGCTTACAATTGTTCAAATGTTCAAATGTTGAAAATAATGATTTTAAAGACATATTCTGAACTATGAAGCGATCAAAAAGATCCACTATTTTGTCTAATACTTAAAAAAAAAATTCTTGAAACACAGCAATGCATGTCCTACTTAAATTATCTACTGACTTTTTCAGTTTGAAACTGACTTTCAACCTGCCAACTCTTCAGAAAAATATTCAATTTTTCCAGGAAGAAATCCTGCTAATTCTTTAACAAAAACACTTCTGCAAGCAAAGTATTTGATGCAATCAGCTCTTACCTGATTACCTCCCATCGGCATATTACTGAAATTTCCATATTGAGGACCCTGGAGACCTTTTTCTTCAAAGTAATGTCCAGCTGCTCTCAGTGGGAAGTTCTGGGCTCCTGGGCCACCTGGCCCATTGAAGTTTGGTCCAGGTGAACCATCAAATATATCAGGTCTCTGGAACTGCATTCCATGAGCTGGTCCATTGTAGCCCTGGCCAGGATGTTCAACAAACGGACCACCTTGTCCATATGGTGACATTTCTAGTCTTGAGGCAGGATGGTTAGCTACATTTTCAAAACGTGCACCCTGAAGGCCAAGGGGCAAGTCAAACCTAGAGGCTGGCTGGTGAGGTCCATCAAATCTTTGAGGTATGGCTGTGTCAAATCTTGCTTGTGCCTGTTGACCAGGTGCCAACCTTGGACCAGGCTGTCCATGAATTCCATCAAATCTTTGCAGGAGAGAAAGCTGTCCTGGCTGACCATCAAATCCAGCTCCATGACAGCCATCAAATCTTGGACCAGCCCGACCAAGAGGACCATCAAATCTAAGTCCACCAGCTCCCTGGTGTACTGGTCCATCAATCAACCTAGGACCTAGACCCGGCTGACCACGAGATCCTTCCAATCTCAGTCCACCACCCGATGGTCCATGTGGCCCCTCAAATCTGAGCCCACCACTTGATGGTCCATGTGGCCCCATGGGCTGACCATGTGGCCCCTCAAATCTGAGGCCACCTCCAAGTTGTCCATGGGGCCCCACTGGCTGTAAATGTGGCCCCTCAAACCTGAGGCCACCCCCTGGTTGACCATGAGGCCCCAAGGGTTGACCATGGGGTCCCTCAAACCTGAGACCACCCCCTGGTTGACCCCGAGGCCCCATAGGTTGACCATGAGGCCCCTCAAACCTGAGACCACCTGAAGGCTGACCATGAGGACCCTCAAACCTGAGACCAACTCCAGGGCCTTCAAATCTAGGACCACCTACAGGCTGCCCTGCAGGCCCCTCAAACCGCAAAGGCCCAAGAGGTCCCTCAAACCGCAGCGGACCTCCTCCACCAACCTGACCGGGGGGTCCTTCAAATCTCAGGGCCCCTGCCAGCTGTCCTGGTGGCCCATCAAATCTTAGGGCTCCAGCTCCCCCTGCTCCTGCCAGTGGTCCATCAAACTGAGATGCACCTGTCCCCACCAAAGGCCCCTCAAATCTCATAGCAGCCTGTCCAGCTGGCCCATCAATTCTGGAACTTGAACCAGCAGCAGGACCATCAACAAAAGGACTTCCTTGTCCATCTACCCCAACCCTTGCAGCAGTTGGTCTAGGTGAGCCATCAAATAGAGGTCTGTCTTCCATCAGTGCACTTATCCTCTGCTTTGCTTCAATACCTCCAAATCTTGATCCTGGACTTTCTGGAAATGGTGCTTTCTCTGGATCCTCATACCTAGCTCTTTTGAAACGTTCAGTGAATGGTGACCTTGGTTCCTCTCGAACACCTAAAAAAGCCAGAATAAATCACATAACCACTCGCTAATATATTGTCAATGACTTAACAGATTTAAAACAAACTAAAATCACATACCAGCTTGCCCAAGAAGCTGTCTTTCTTCACGACTATCAAACCTACAAAGTGCATCCCCATCTATTTTTTGGAACTCTGCTGTACTTTTCCCCTGTTGTCTGAGAGCATCTCTAAATTCATCCGATTCTCCCCAGCTGTCATAAGGATCAGAACCTCTTGCTCCTTTAGTAGCACGCTGCTCTTCAAGTCTTCGTCGACTCTCAAGGGGTGAGAGGTTTTCAGCAAAAGGTCTTGTAGTGCCACTTACAGGAGAGTGTCTCCTTGATCTTTCTGCAAATGGTTCTTTTCTGTCAAACTGTACCCCCCGCTTGGCTTTTGTCTGCTCACATTCTATTCCAGAAAGCAATGCATCAGGTATATGATAATCCAAAATATCATCAGGATCCAACAGATCAAGCCTTGACAATGAATGCTGAACTTGTGTCCTTTTTAGCTTAGCTTTATGTTCATAATATGTTAATTCTGCATCCGATAGAAGAGGTTTCTTTTTCAAGCCACATTTTTCCTCTGTAGGGCTATCCCAGACATTACATCTGTGCTTTCCTTCCTGATACTGGAACAGCTGTCGGATCTGATGAGCTACCATGAGAAACTCATCCTGTGTTATTTCACCAGATGTTAAGCGGTCATTAGCCTGTAATATAAAGTTCAAATTTAGACTTCCAAAAAGAGAAGAAAAAAAAGCCATACCTGGGACATTTCTATGAAGACAGATTTATTAGTATTACCTTCTTAAGTAATTCTCTTTTACTTGCAGATGTCAATTCTTTGGGAATCTGTAAATTGGCATCCACACTTAACCGGTGCTGCTGCTTCGGTGCTCGGGGTGAAAGAATTCCTTTTCCAGCAGGCCAGTTTTCCCGATGTCTTTGGTGAGGGGATTTAACAAGTGCTTGGTGTTCATCATTCTGCTGTGAGCTGAGAACAAGAATATATGTAAAATATGGATTATTTCGTTATTCAGGACATAATGGTTCCTACTAGAACTGATCATTGCAAAACATCACTATCACCTTAGAATCTAAGTATGCATCATCTCTGTATTTCAGTAGTAGAAACAAGTAAAATCTATTCATTTTAATGATCTGAACACTGCCTCTCCAAGTCAACTATAATGAAGCCAACAGAATTTCCACTGACTTCACAGAGAAGTTGTTCAAAAGATAGTAACTTACTTTTTACTTTCTTCCCAACCAGATTTCCACCTCTTGCCTGATTTGGATCCCTGCCAGTTTTCTGCGTTTTCCTTTGGATCTGGAGAAGCTTTTGCAGAATGCTGGGTGGCTGTCTCTTGGGGTCTTTCTTCTTGGGCTTTTTTCAATCTCCTTGGATCACGTACCTCTTGTTTAACATTTCTCTTATTAGAATTTCTTTCGTCTCTTGCTGCTTGTGTGCCTTCTTCAACATGAGACTGCTTAGGGCCTATCTGACGTATCTTTCCAATTTTAGGAGTTGATGAAGTGGGAGATAGACTCCGAAGTCTTCTTTTAGGTGATCTCCTCTCTCGTCTTTTTGGAGAATGTGTAGAGGGTGATCTTGCCTTAGGAGACCGTGACCGTGACCGCTTTCTACTACTTGATCTTCCTTGTTTTCCACCCTGTTTTTCTGACTCCTCTGTCGTCGTGTCTTGTTTCTGAACAGCACCATTAATTACTTTATTTCTGCTCCCCACTGGTCTGTGTTCACATGTCTTATGCTCCTCTTTTTCCTTCTTCTCTGTACTTCTCCTCTTTTCTTTGACCTCCTCGTCCTTCCCCTCCGACTTATCTTGAAGGTGTCTTTTCAGTCTTGGATCCCGCTTACTGATGTCAGAAACCTTAGTGCTTTCACATTCCTGGCTTTTATTGTCTTTAGTATCAGGCAGCTTATTTTTCAAAGGGGATGGTGATTTAGATTTTGCTTTGGACTGTTCAAGTTCTTTCTTCTGGGTTTTTTCACTTGATTTTGATTTTTCTGACTTTGTTGAGTTCTGTTTTTCAGCCTGTGCTGTTTTGTTTCCCTTGGTCTCAGACTGACTGGTCAGACTTGGAGAAAATTCTTTCCTATGAGGTTGATCTTTAGTATGAGAAGAATGTTGACCCATCCTATTAAGCCGAGGATCCCTGTTCACTATTTTGATGTCATGAAGTGGAGGACTTGGGGATGGTTTGATTTTTTCAGATTGCACAGCAGCCTGATGAGGTGGTTTAACTGTCATATGAGGTGTGGGAGACACGTGTTGCTTGGAAGGTGCTGGAACTGAAGCTATACTAGATGATCCCTGCTGAACACTAAGAGATACAGCCTGAAATTGGAAAAAATCCAGCATTAATCTGCATGCCACAACTCCTACCCAGAGGTGCTAATATAGTCCGTCGCGATAACAAAACCGTAATAGCCGTGTCTTGAAAGTTATGAGCTTCAGCCTTCTAAATGAAATTGACCCACTAATTGCTAATTACAAGCACTAAAACAATGCAGTACCATTACAAATCAAATTCAGATACCATGCAAGACCAGTATATAAAATAAACATTGTGAAATAAGTAACTTTGGCACACATCCCAACTACAGTGCTAGCTTTTCTATATATTCCATGTGCTCTTAGCAACTCAGCTGCCAAGTATCCTGTTTTCACACTTCAGTTCAAAGATGCTTTATTTTGTATTGTCAACTGCCAACACAGCACAACTTCCAACTACTGCCGACCAAGAAACTGACTTTGTTTACAAACAATCAGGCTCCCTTGTTCCTTAGGAACAAACATATTTGAAATAGCCCAGCTCGCTGTCAGCTGCAAGTGAAAGATGAAGATCGCAGTCAGGTATCATTCTGAAGAGAAATTTAAGCCACACCACAAGATTTTCACTTTTACATTTAAGTCTAATACTTAAGGTTTCAAGATAACAAACACTGTTCAGGAACCCCAGATCACCTTGCATTGCTCTAATAGTCTTAAAATAGCTACACTTGGCTAACATGAGGAAAAACCAATGTACTGTACTCACCAGTACAGCCAAGTACTCTCCAAAAGAGAAATCCCACCTATAAAAGTTTTATCAACTATCCTACTCACCAACTGTGCTTTAGTCTGTTCCAGCTCCAGCTCAAGTTTTTTTTGCTGAAGTTCTAACAACTGCTTTTGCTTTGCAAGCAATTGCTGCCTTATCAGTTGCTCCTGTGTCAAATTCTTTTGTATTTCAGGAACAGCTGGAGGAGTAGAGGCACCAGAAGTGACAGCAGAGGTAGGTGCATTAGATTCCTCTGGCTAAAAAAAAAATAAATAAAATTTACATTTAAAATCCTAATGAAATCAACTAAATCCATCTCCTTTCAGTGTTATTATGAGCCAGTACCAGGACTTAGTTTGTACAGCAGTTATAAACTGCAACTCTTTTTCCCCACTATGATTTGCCTGCTCTGACAGGTTTAAGGAATTTAATAAAAATTCTTCAATGTTCCAAAACCTAGAATACAATTTGTAAATAAAAAAAACCCCAAACCTTTCAAATATTCTGAATTTGTAAATTTCTCTTACCTGTTTATAAAGGTCAGATATTTCACTCTTAATATTCTAAATTGTCAAAAAGCAGCATACAAACAATGAAAACTACATGTATTACCAGCTGTTCTTACAGAAGGCAGAAAAACTTACCGATTTATTTAAAAACTTAGGATTCACATGGATGCTAGAAGTATTCACATTTGGGGGCAGAGGTTTAATTGGCCAGGCAGGATCTAATGAGTTGACTCTGACATCAAGTGCATATAGTTTCTTCAAAGGAAAAATATCATCCCATGTGGAGCGCAATTTAAATAAACTTTTCCTAGTATTTTCATCCACCTAAAACAATAAAACAATTCTATGGCTTGTTAAGTTAATATAGAACAATTTCTTAAACTTTTCTGCAGAACTTAAGAGTTTATTAATTTCCTATTTCTATCTTGCCATTTAAACATACTGAACTTGCTATAAAAAACTTATAAGCAGTGCAGACCACACATGTCTATCAACGGGATCAGTAACAGAAGCTCAAATGTGGAATTGTTGTTTCAAGGCCATTTGAAGATTTTACTGTGTTTTACCACGCTCTGAGAATTTTCTTTCAACTTTTCCATTAGCAAAATTCTCATTTTACTGGCCCAACTTCTGTGGAAAAAAAAATACAGTAACAAAGGTATTGAAAGGCAACAGCCTCTGAGACAATACATTATTCAAGTGCTTGTGCTGGAATATAACAATGACAAACAAATCAAGAAAAAATGAACTCTGAATGGAAAAAAAAAAGGTTTTTTCTCAGCTGTTTAGACACTGAAGGATTTTTCCCAACAAATGCAATAAAATGAGTATTAGCTAAAATGGAGTCAATTATTATTTCTGTTCAGCTGCAGAATTAGACCCATCTATATACGAGTCACAGATCAAATGTACTTGTAGGACCAGAGGCCCATTTTATCTCTTTACAAACAACTGGATTATCTCATGGCAGCTAAATTAGAATTTTACAAGAAAGCAAAATTTAGTTCATCATATAACTTGAGTGGCTCAATTAAACAAAAAATAAAAATCATTAGAGGACAAAATACATGCAGCTGTCCTAATTTCAAAATCCCAATTCAATCATTAAGTACTGCCCATGTAGATGACTTTTGCTGCCATTTTCAGATGTTACACCTAGACACAGAATATTCTGCACAGTTTGGAGGTTCTTTTTGGGTAAGAGTAGGAGCTTCAATGAAAGTAATTCAATTAGTAACTGGGGTATGCCTCTATAAAATTTTCCATGAGAGGCCTCACTGAAGTTCACTGCAAAAATGTGTGGGAATGACTGAGCAAACAGTTCTGATTTCAAGTGTCTAAAGATACCTTAGTGACCATTTTCTGGTAAAACCAAATCTGTAACAATGCCTGTGCTGCAATTCAACTCATAGTCTAACATGACCAACTAAACTATTGGAAATTATTGACACTTTACACATCTAATTAGTACACGTTAATAGTTCTAATTAGCTTAGTAGCAAGTTAACATATAAAACTCTCAAGATTAGTTATTGTCCAGAGCTTCATTCAGCTGCAACCTTAAACGCAACTCGGTAGAAGAGCATTCACAATTTAACACAAAAAACCAAGGAAATCTATTATCTCTATCTGCTCTATACACGGGAGTTTATGTCTTCTACAGTCATGATAACAACCTATTCCTTACTTCATCACACACTTTACATCTGAAAACCATATACAAAGCATACTGGGATTTCAGATCCTAGCTGATATGTAATGATAAATACGCAAAAGCTTCATTCATCTCATTCTTATGAAATGCCATTTTCTTCTAACATACAGGAAATCACAGAAGTGATTTCCCCTCTTTTTCTGATCCAACTTAAACCCATTCAAGTCCAGCCTTTCAAAACCTGGACTTTGATAGGATTTTCTCAATGAGGAGTATGCACAACTACTTCACTGGGCTTCAAGATTAAGAGCCAGAATTAAAAGATATGGCAGCAGCTTTCAATGTTGAATGAAATTAAAACATTTATAATACAGTCACACATTTTAAGGTCCTTCCCCAATAGAGTCGCAGCATTTTTTTCAGCTGACAGACCACCAAGAGAGAACCAGGTGTCAGTGCAACTCACTCTTGAGTTTAAGCACTCATTCTGCACAATGTGAATTATGTAAATCAGACAAATCTAACTACAGGAGAGTGAGGCTTGGAAAAATCCACAAGAAACCAATTCTCAGTCTATTCTTGGCATAAGGACTATTAACTATCTTAAAAATAAACCAATGATTCATAATTAATTGGTCTATACATTACAAAAAATCCACCCAGCTAAGCCATCAATAACCAAAATACTGTTAGTATGCAACTAACTTCTGCTTTAAGGAATAATCTTTCAGAGTACCGACATGGAGATTTAGAAAAACCAATCCATTTGTATAGTTCGCCACACAAGAAAACTCAAACCTGAAAGCACGTACTTATTTTACCAGGAACAAATTTTTGCTTAGAATACAGTACTTTTCTGAAAGTGTATATACCTTTTCAAATACACAAATAAATGTTGCAACTAGGTTTTTAGTAAATGCAGTGAGATACTCTCTTCCCACATTCTTGACAATGGAATCCATTAGGTACATAACGGGTAGCTTCTCTGATGCAGGAGCCTGGAGTAATAAGAAGAAACTGAGAAGTTTAGTACAACAAAAACATACTTTAACCATTTCAAATAAAGGGATTACCAATCCCAGAAATACAGACCTCTCTTTTTGGTTGCCACTATAAATACCAAGGGATTTGTCTTGGGATTTTGGTTTATACAAAAACTTAATCTGAAAAATGGACACTCCGTTCAAAGCATAATGCAGCGGGTCTATCACCAAAAAAAGAAAAAAAAATAAAAAAAGAAAAAAAAATAAAGGAACACCTTAAGTTAATTTGTTTGTGTATCAAAGCTTTGGAAAAAGAGGGAAAAAAAAAAAAAGAGGAAAAAAAGAAGCCCATGAGACAGTATTGCCACTAGTATACTGAGTGTAACCTTTCCCTTGAGGAAGTAACTTAGCAGGAAACCATCGTCAGCACTTCAAGGAACTTCTAAAAATAGTTTATAATTCAAACCTCCTGGATGGATTTTTCTGGATTTCATAGAACACAAATTAGACTTCTGGAAAGCAGCCCAAATCAGTGAACTTCTGTAGCTGTAAATTATATGTTGATTATCACAGTCCTTCGTAAATTACACGTAGAATAGGTTGCAATTATTTCACTGTAATCCAACTGGATATAGCAGAGAGTCCCATTCTCTCTTGGCATTTGCAGATGGCGATGGTTCTGATTTCCAGAGTGCATGCAAAAACACAGTCAGAACAGAGTTCCAAATCCAGTCAAAACTCAGTCATCTGGTCGACTGGTTAAACGCACAGACAAGCTCAGGAACTGCAACCACCATTTTCATAGAAGGTTGTCTTCAAACTCTGGACACAGCTTTGCTACAGGAGGCTTGGTTTTCTGGTTTGTTTGTTTTTGGTTGGGATTTTTTTAAATCCTTTTTCAAAACTCGTACCAAGTTTGTGTGATAGAAGTGTGGTGACCCTGGACCGCTACAGCAACTTCCAATTTACAGAAAGCAGTACTGGACCACTAAAAGCGATTTTAATGCCTGCCAGTAGCTTTCACAAAGCAGAAGGCACAGCAAAGCTCAAAAAAAATCAGCAAGTACACAGACTTGTTGAAGAGGACATGAAAGACAACACAAGCAGTGTGCGTTGACCATGACCCCCTTGGAAGAGCATCCACTTGTAATACTTTAAGCTCCATTCACCATCTGGTAAACTCGGGATAAAAGCAGAGTAACTTCACTCATTGCTCATTTTCTTCACCATTTTAAATCCAATTCCTTCCCCTTTAAGGTGGTTCACAGGGCACCCACTCAACGGTATTTTTACATGGGCAGAGCGCTTCCTCACCCTCTAAAGTGTACTAGTTTACCATGACCTGAAAGTTATTATTGAAGAGGGCAGAACTCCTTGTTAGTTGGGGGCAGAAGGGGGCGGGAGGGTGTCACTGCCTTCGAACATACTGGGAAAAAGCAGAATCAGCCAGGTGATGCATTTTGTACACAGAAAGACAAAAAAACCCAGCTAAGTTAGCTAAAATTAATTGCAGCACATTAGAAGCCAACTTCACACTGTGATGCAATACTGAACTGTAAACAACCCAATGTGCAAGTGTTAGAAAAAAGCATCACTTCAGTCTCAGACATAGAAGACTGTGGATCTGCAGCTGTTTTAAGTATCTGTGGAATACTGGCTTCCTCTGAAGCAGTCTGCACCAATGGCACATTAGAAACACTCCAGTTCTGAGTGTCTTCCTTTATAACAAAATGACAGCGCACCATTTCTGACTTTTAGTCAGCTGTGTTAGGGACACAAAGAGCTGTCCTAGAAGTACCTATGCCCAAGAGCTACTCCCCGAGTTAAATTCTTCCATTTCACCAATGCATGAAAGTAGCTCACTGCACTCGGCTAAGCTGTAAGTTTGAGATGCTGGGGAACCATTAGTAGCAAAAGCACTGAATAAAGTTTAACTGTCACTTTCATCATGCATCAGACTGTTAACACCAATCAAACACGCAAACACCACCATCTAGGTAAGGAAGCCGACTTCCAACTATGGAGCACAATTAGCAGCTCAGCAGCGTACCCTGCTTCAAATATAAGCTATTCAGGTGTCACATTTTAAGCAACGCAAACTTAAATATGGTTGGAATAGTTAAGTCTTCTCTTCTGGAAGTGTTTATTATGTCAAGGTATCTAGCTCGTATTTCAATAACCACAAAAGGGAATCCCACACCAGAATTATTTTGTTTTTAGGAGGTCTCTGCAACACCCCAAAGCACGAAAGATGCCCACATGACACTAATCAAAAGGCAGGGAGGCGCCGCATAATCACCAGCACACAGAAGAACACTAACTCTGAGCTCATCAGCATAAATTAAAGACTTCTTTACAAAACTCCCACTGTTCCTTCAAATAACGTAGGAAAGCTATTGTTGGAAATGTGTGGCTCTTTTTTATTAGTTTCCTAAAAGATTTCAAGTTTAAAATAATATCTGGCAGTTGAACCCCAAGTCACAAACTTGTAAAAAAATTTGTTTTATAAAAAAAAAAAAAAGGAACTTTTTATACAAAAAGGGTCTTGGAAACAAATTCTGCACTATACAATGGTAAATAAAAAGACAAATACATATTTCACACTTTTTATTTACAAATTTTATAATACCAGTCACACATTTCAGAACCATTTATTAAATTGTAAAGCAGACCACTCAGGTTTTACACTAAACAAATTGTCTCCAGGCAACACTTTTTAAAAGTGGCTTAGTAAAGGAGATCACTTTCCCAGAAACAACTAAAAACTTGCCTTCAATAAACTACAGTCATCAACAGTAACTAGGCAAAACTAACCAATGATACAGGTTTTAAGACATCTTTAAAAAAAACCCCACACTTCAGGGCAGGTTCTAAATCACCCAGAAATGAAAAAAAAAATTGACAGCATTGTTATTCATCACAAATCATTTTATACACATCCACTGCCCTTTAGGAGATATAATGGTGAGAGCTATTAGATTATGAGGTCACCTCCCCAAGGAATGGCAAAACTCAGCCACTGGCAGCATTTAAAACTAGACTGGAAGAGGTCTGTGGCACACTAAAAAGACATCCTGCATTGATAGAAAGATAGAGTAAGTATCTTAAAAGATGTTTCCCACCCCCATTATTAGATAGTACAATTCTCACCATTATAAACCACGATTAAAGCCAAAGAAAAAAGCCTTTTAACACCTGAGATCAGAGGGAGCAAGGGAAACAACGGGGGAGGGGTGGCTGGCACGAATACGGGGTGGGGGGGGATTGAAAGAAGAACCCTTTTCTTCTAAAATGCTCGCTAGAAAGGTGCTGCAAACCCCCATGCATGTACAGCGGCTGACTGATGTCAGCAACTGCCTGGGCTGGGCTCAGAGGGAGCCTCCTCTTTCCCTTTTTATATCATGTGCCTTTCAGACGCCATGTTAGGATCCTACAGGCTGCTGCAGTTTCTACAGGCAGAATTTCTTCTACCACATCCTCAACCAACAAACCTCTCTAGCCAAAATAAATTAAATATGCACACAACACTAGTGCTACTCGGGGCACAGATGACCTAAAATCCAAACAGATTATCCAAAGCCCACGGAATTTTCTCTAACGAGGCAGAGCAAAACAACCCCCCCATCACCACCACACACACTTCTCTAACCGAAGGAGATTATCACCTTTCACCCAGAAACTTTTTTACGATATAAGGGAGCCCCCACCCCTCAATCACTCACAGGGACCGCACTGGGGAAATAGCTTTAACTTATATTTAAAGGTCACTATACTTAGCCCTTCGGTGGCAGACGATTTGCGTTGTGGAAACTTAACCTCATTTTTCTTTTAGACTACTCCCATAGAAAAACCCAACTCTCCACGAGATCTCCCCACTCACGTCCTCTCTATTGATTGCACTGTCCACCTACTGGAGAAATGCCCTAAATTCAAGGGTTTAGTCACCAGATTCGGACACCGAATCCTGGCTGCATGTCGGGGGAAAACCCCGCTCCGAGGGCGAGGAAGTGCAGCTGCCCAGTCACTGCCGGGCCGCCATGTTGTGCCTGCTATTTACGCGGGGCTCGCAGCTCGAGCCACGCTGCCCTCCTCCCTCAGCTCTTCCTGGGGCGAGTCCCAAACCCTCCCCTACTCCCAACAGGGTGGTGTGGGGGCTGCTCCCCTCCCTCGAGTCCCCTGCTCCCTATACGATGGGGGAGGGAAGGGAGGCAGAAGTAGAAGAAACAGCACCCTTAAGCTTCGCGATGGAAGGAGGAGCCCCCGCCCGCCGCCTCGCCCCGCTGCTCCCTGATCCCAGCTGAGACACGCTTCCCTCCTCCGCCTGTTTCCCCCACGGCGACCCCAAACCTCCTATACCCCCGTCCTCCCCCAACTCCATCTGAATCCTGCTCGCTCTGTTCGCCCCCTCATTATCACCACCCCCCCCAGCATTAC